GTATGAAAGTTGAAGCAAGAGACAAACGTCTGAGTTTTTCCCAAAATGACGTGGCCTTACAACAGCCGTTCGAATCGAGGGTTTATCTATTGGGTCTGTTGGCTGGTCTTTTTCTTTTTTAAGTGTCGTTTCGAGTTATATCATTGAACGCAGGATCATCGAATCCCTTCGACAACAAGGGAAGAATAATCTTCGTCAGCCAGATTTCAGCTGGTTTATTAAATAATTTCACATTCTCCTTTCTTCGCTCGCGCTTTCACGGCTCGGCTGCTTAATTATGCCTTGAGAAACATCGTACTCGCTTCCATTTCTCTTGCTACTTTCATCATCCTCCGCCACTCTGTATTTCTTCGTCCGTTTTAATTACGAATCGCCATTGTTTACCAGCCTTCTTCCCTCCCCATCTCTCCCCCCATCGCTCGGTTAGACGGAGTTTTACCGGATTGAATTTTATTCTTCGACTCCCCTGACCCGCTCGAAGCCCCGTTTCACCACGCTCTCGACTTCCTCTTTCGCATAGGAGAAGAAGAAGTGTAGAGAGAAGGTTCGTCCAGCTCCTTTCTTCCCTCGCCTCGCTCTCAGGTGCAATCGATACGTCCGACTGCACGCTGGACACCGTCGAACTGGGTTGAAAACGAACGAGAGGAAGCGTTTGTATTGTCTGCCAAAGAACTCTGGAGAGTTTCTTCTTGCAGCCTCCATGGGGGACGGAGTGGAATTTATATAATGGAAATTTTTCTCCGGTGCTTCTGTGCAATTCTTCATTACCTCTTTTTCTCTTTTTTCTTCTCTCTTTTTTTCACTACGATTCCTCGCGCGTTATATTAGACGGAAGTTATTTCGCCGTGGAGTATATTGTTTTAACGATCCCCCAATTTATTTATCCCCATTGAAGCGTGAAACTGCAAAGTAATCACATTTGTAACAGGGAAACGGGGAATTTTTGTTTGAGTACCTCTTCGCTTTTTAATTTAATTTTCCAACTCTTATAATAAGAATACTCTTAATATTTTCCTAATCGAGATTTCACGTTGACGACACTGAACCAAGAATACCGTTCTCGCCAAAGTTTTGCTCAGTCACATCGCAGAAAATGAAATTGACGTGTGAGAAACTAGTTAAATTCTACAAAGAGTTAGTTAGACTCAAGTTAGAAATTGTATATACAGGGTGTCCCAGTTTTTCCAGTCAAACTTCGCCACTATGTTCTATAAGTATAAATAAGAAGAAAATGTTGGATAAACATAGGTCGTTTGAAGTTTCGTTAAAAAGTTACAACAAAAATACAAAGGGAATGGTAACAAATTAGCGGTTGCTATGTTACAAGACAAAAATGGCGCCTGTAAAAGTTACATTCAACACCTTCAACAACCTCGGATTGTAAACACAGCTCGCATAAAACAGAGCAGATGTAAATATCGCTGATCCATTCTTATTTTCTATCATAATAAGTGCACACCCGTTACCGTTCCCTTCGTATTTCGTATTTCGGTCATAACTTTTTAACAAAGCTTCAAACAACCTATGTTTATATAACATTTTCTTCTTATCTACACCCGTAGAATATACTGGCAAAGTTTGGTCGAAAACAACTGGAACACCCGGTATATCAGTTATAAGCTCGTTAAAAATAATTCACAACCACTTGAAACATTCGTGGAGAAACTTCCTATAGATATAATTAGCAGAACAACGCTTCGATAATTCCTAAAATCTGCTTTGCTCGCATCTACACAGATCTTCTCGTAATCTTTTCGTGCAAAAGCACAGTCAGAAAGTAGAGAATAAGCAAAAGCATCCGTTCCAGTGGAACGCAACCAGCTACATGATTTTCAAAAGGCAACTCCTCGTTCCTCCACCGTGGAGAATCGATAAGGGAAATATTAGGAAGGGAAGCGCGCTGCGGGGGCCACAAAAGGCGCAGAAGGTCTCCATTACCTCACGTGAAGCTCAAAGGGGATGCCTGCAAGTAGAATCGTCTTTATTCTAACCAAAAATGTGGCTTGATCGACGTCGATGCAACAGAGCAGAGAAAGCAACGAAACAACCAGCTTCTCTGGTTGCAAATTGGATGTTCCCGGGGCGGTGATCGTCGAGTAGAGAGATCGTTTAATATCTTCGACCGCGTTAAAGACGCTCTATCGGGCAGAACCACCGTGGGGAAATTGCAAAATTCTCCAGACGAACGGTGTATTTCGTGTTCTCTCTCTTCTCCTCCTCCTCCCTCTTCTTCTCCTAGCGTGTGCGTACAGTCACATCAGTCGCTTTTCACATTTAACGCGAATTCGTCGAAGTGAAGCCTCAAAGGAGCAGAATATTTGTGTTGCAAACAAACCGTGCGAAATTAAGTTTCGAAACTGCGAAATATTTGTCGCACGAGCACAACTGCTACTTTGTGACAGCTGCCTTCTTATCGCCTGTTTTTCAACATGCAGCCGCGTTAAGCTGCTTCTACACTATACAGTGCTCCCTCGAACAACGCGGTTTTTCTTCAAAAATTTCGACGTTCATTTCGAATCAATTTACACGTTCAGCATACGTTTAAAATTTTAAATTTTAAAATCATGGCGAATCAGAGAGGTGAGAAAGAGCCAATGCGAATTCGTTCACGTGAACTAATTCCTCGTGAATTGTCGCTGCACCCAAGAAGTAGTGGCGCCAAATTCAAATACATAACAAATAGCCGAACTTGGGAGAAAAATCAAACGACCGATGTGTCGCTGAGAACTAGAAGGAGCTATAGTTGGGGCCACGATATAGCGAGGTCGTAAATTAAACTCTCAAGAATCGGCACCGATTGATGTTGCGGCACTCAAGGCCGTGTGTTGCAGTCTGTTTGAGGGTTCCAACAATAAACGAATGGTAGCATATGATTTGGTACTTCAAGTAGAAAATGGTATTTCATTTACAAATGGAAAATATGTTAATATTAAAGCTACACAATCCTTTTGCATTTTCTATCTGCATCTTGTAACCGTACTTCCAAATGCGGCTTTTCCCAGAAGAAAAAAACCCTAAATTGTCCTAGCTGAACTCAATTTTCAGTAAATATATTAGAATCAGTTTGACTTTCGCTGGATACAAGAATTCTTTGTACGGTCCTGACCATGGTTTCAAGTACTTATCTGCTCGTATTTCTGTCAATTTCGGGGTCCCGGCAGCTAAAACATGTTTACTTTGACGCCTAACCGATTTTACGACCTCGCTATATCGTGGCCCCGACTATGCATTTAAGTAATTACATAATACGTGCGTGTATGTGTATAAATATAATATATGCACATGCATAGAAAGAATATAAATGTTCTTCGGTTTTTTGCGAAGGCGAAGGATGATTGCCAACAACGCGGATTTCCATCAACGCGGTCAGTCGGCATCTCTAATCTCCGCGTTGTTCGAGAGAGTACTGTATAACAAAACACTGTTATAAGAGAAATTGTTTTTTAACCTTGTTTTAGAACTCGTTTTTATAACTTGTTACAAGTTTATGCCTTTTGCTTTATAGGAACAAGTCTATAACAAGATCGTATTTCTTCCTTTTTGCAACTCTTGTTAGAACTACCCAATCAACGTTCGAATTCTGTTTTTCTATTTCGATTGAGTTCATCTTCATATCAACGCCTAATTCAGTCCACGCGTCATGCTCCTTATGGTAGATATAAAAACTATCTTTGATCTTTACCGACACGTGATGGATAACATAATTTTCTGAATAACACGAAAAATGTTATTTAACCCTTTGCACTAGGAGGTCATTTTGCTATAGCAAAAGTTTGCAAATCGGATCTTAGAAATTTTCTAAAATTAACGTAAAAACAAACCATACTATTTTAATTAAATATTCAACGTATTCTCTATTTCACTATGGCAATCAAATTTATAGAGGTCCCATAGATCTGCTCTCTGATTTGACCAATTATTTACCAAGTGACAATTACTTAATATCGCTTCTCGGTCGCCACTCGATTGCAAAGGATTAACATAATATTATATGACATTTTTCTTTACCTTTATCTAAGAAATTTTGTTACTTCACTGTACAGGGTGGGCCAAGTAAAACAGGCCACCTAATTATCTTCTCCAGCTATGGTGGTACGAGAAAATGTTTATACGTAATTTAAATGGTTTCAAAGGGCAAATGAGATGGAGGGAAAATTTGTTTGATAGATGATTTGTCTCACATTTGTCATTTTTGTCATTTTATGGTCACATTATTATGCACGTTTAAATGCACATCAATGTCTGCCACAACATACAGTAGAAACAAATATTATATATACATTCGTGTAAAAACACATAGCTGGCCTTGAAAAAAAAATCTTATTCGCCCTTTGAAACCATTTAACTTGCGTATAAAAACTTTCTCGTACCACCAGAGCTAGAGAAGATAATTACCTGGTCTATTTTCCGCCCTGTACAGTGTAGACACAGCTTTACGTTACTATCAACCGTGGAATTAAAAACGTACTACTTCCGGTGTATACTTTACGACGTATCGTAAAAGTTAAACTTTATTCACGAGTGAAATGTGTATTTTAAACAAAATTCAGATATTTTGGAAGATAAAAGAAAGTCTGGTCTACGAATCGCAGAATAGTCGATTTTTAAGGAACAGAGGGGGCAACGAAGGGTTTGAAAAGGGCAGCGACAATTTCCAGCAGAGTCAACTGAAACGGTCAGGTGGCCAGAGTAATCTCGAAACGGGGCTCGAAGCGCACATATCACAT